CTATTCCAAGCGAGTTTTTGTAGCGCCTTTTGCTGAAATTCAAATATACAGGGAGGAAATGCAATCACAACAATAAAAGTTGATGTTAAACAAAATCCTTTCAAAAATGCTGTCAGCTATGGTATAGACGGATCGTAACTATACATGATATAATTAAGCGTCCTTTTCTTGTTGATTTGTTTGTTTTTCGTAACACGGTAAGCTACGTTAACCATGGCGCAACAGGGTGACATTTACCGTGACATTTATTAGATATCTTAAAGCTGTGTCGATATTTAGTCACTTGAAAGTCATCTTTTTGTTCAAAGCAGCCATTCAAGGTAGATTCAAAAAAAGAGATTTTTTTCCTGGACCAACAATGGATTTCAGGTTGACAGCTATCAAGAGGGGGGCTATACACGCACTACTGAGTTGATCTGTTATAAACATTACTGACTAGTACGCTTCGTGTGCTATTATGGCTAGCGACAGCTCTGAGAAAGCAAAAGAGGCAGCTGCTAATAGTGATAGAAAGCTGGTTCTGTTTGTAGGCTTCGTGTGTATGCTTTGCCTCGTCTGGTTTGGCTAAACTATTATTATGACTGAAAAACTTACGCTCTTAGACCGCTTACTCGAGTTGCAACATACAGCATTCATGTTATAACTAAAAGAATTGCATTTAAGAAGATTCAGGCCTCTTATGTAGCAACAGCTCGACCTGATTATGTTTCCTCTAGAGGATTTGTCAATTACAGATTTTTCAAATCATGTCACCTGAAATAATCCCATAAATTTCATTTTGAGTTTTCTTTGCAAAATTCGAGAAAACTTTTGTACAAGTTTATTTCCAATCATAGTTTGTTTTCTTTTTTGCGGGATTTCTACCCGTCTTTTTGATACAGCTAAGTTTTATAGCACTATTAAAGACACCAATTCAGATGAATGACTATTCATTGTTTAATAATTTGTGTATAGTCTATACATGTCTTAGTAAGGTTAATAATATTAATAATGATATTATTGATTCAATGTTCAGAAAAAATGTGCATCACTCAGGCCATCTAGAAGACTATAAAACCTTAGTGTGTATGTAAATTTATTAATTGAAATAAACATAATCTGCTTACCTGTCAATCAAACAATCTTATTAACGAAATTTGTGTACGTAGTCCTTTCCGACGCCAGACCAGCATTTATCGGGATCACTCTTCTGGTAAGAAAAATCAACCTTGTGTTCTTAATTTTTTTTATTTTTTTTTTTCAGTTAATGGTCTGATCGCTCTCAAAAAAATGTTTAACAAAAAAATCAGATTTCGGAAATATCGAATTCAAAACAAAGCAAGGCAAAAAAACTCAATGCCGTCGTTCTCTGAATTTCTTGCAAAAACCATTTGCCAGACCTTACAGTGCAGGCAGTAGATATTTAGTGACGTTTAGTTGTGATATTTAGCTATGACATATGTGTTTGCATTCTATATGTATATTTGCATGTCGAGGGCAAAAAGTGAATACAAAACTGTTTGCACTTCTCGCCTCGTGCGGCCAGAGGCTTGGCACGAGTAATTGTTAAACAATAGATTTCAAATTGACGCAGCTATCGAGAGGGAACCATACACGCAAGACTCACGCACGACTGACTGTTATAAACATAACTGACTAGTACTCTTCGTGTTCGATTATGGCTAGCGACAGCTCCGAGAAAGCAAAAGAGGCAGATGCTAATGCTTATAGAAAGCTGGTTGTGTTTGTAGGCTCTGTGTCTATACTTTGCCTTGTCTGTTTTGGCTACTGGCTTAACACAACGTCCCTTCCGACCCCAGACTTGCCAACAACGGCTGATCGACTTGCTTTTGCCTTGAAATGGCAGTCGTTATCTGCTTTGACTGTTTTGGCAGGAATCATGTGGGTTAGTAACAAAAGATTTTGCACTCCGGCTTTAAACCCGTTAGATCCAGCAGCCACAAATTACGTGGAGGTACCTCTGAGATACCTAAGCAACACAACAGAGCAATTCTTGATGCACTTCGTTGCTTGTTTGACCCTCGCCATCCATCTGCCGCCCAACAAGATGATGGCATTGCCTTTGTTGAGTGTTTGGTTTGTAGTAGCTCGAGTTGTCTTTGCAATTGGGTATTCAATCCGTCCCTTCTTCAGAGCTCCTGGATTCACATTAACCTTCTACCCTACAATTGTCGCTCTTGTTTACTGCAATTATTGTTTGTATGTGGAATATCTGAAGTGAATATACAGGGTATGCAAATACCGTACAACGGCCATACTTGGTTGAATACAGACGAGAAAGACTACTTCACGTTTGACTTATCGTATATCAATAGTTCTCTTAAATTCCTTATTTGTTAGACTACACGACAACTTTATGTAGTTAGATAAACTATCATGACTGAAAAACTGACGCTTTTAGACCCTTTTTACGTGAGATATGGTGCCCCTAGTGGTAGGGCCAATATCCTTTGTTTTCAATCCTCCAGGGTAAAGAAAACTAAAGAGTTAGCCCTACCACGTAGGGACACCCTATCTCAAGTAAACAGGGCTTAAGAGCGCTTTCAGAACACTTACTCGAGTTGCAGCATAGAGCATTCGTGTTATAAACTAAAAGCCTTTATAGAGCAACAAATCATGCCATTCTTAATGTCACCTGAATAATTCCACAAATTTCATTTTAAGTTTTCTTTGCAAAATCATTTGAGAAAACTTTTGCACTAGTATATATATTTCAAATCATAGTTATTTTTCTTTGTGTGTTTTCTACCCGACTTTTTCATGCAGCTTAGTTTTATAGCACTGTTAAAGACATCAATTCAGATGTTTAATCCATTGTTTATAATTTGTGTATAATCTTATTATGATATCAATTTAACAACTTAAGATAAGTCTTTTCGATCTGGTAACTGCTGTCCAAGCGCTGACCGACCCCTGAGAGCCACCTCAAGTCCTTGCCTCAGCTCGTATGCCGACGTCCGAGTTTTAACCCTGGTCGGCCAAAGAGGTTTTCTCTTCTACGCTTTTCTTTGACGCTTTTTTTTCGTATTTTTGTTTATTTTTGCACTTCATCTTTATAAGAATTTTCCGGGATTACTGAGAAAAGTTTAGACTGTAGAAAAAAGAGAATTAAAACCTATGGGAGTAGTTTCCTTGCGTCGCTTGATGCTATGTTCGTAAAAATGATCTGAAAAGTTTCATCATGTTGCCATGAGTACAGTTGTTTTGAAGCCAAAGTATCATAGCGTTGTACTTATACCAAGTGAGCATCAATGCACGAGGTCAGTTTTCAAAATATACGAGAGTACTTGAAAATAGTGTCCACCCGATGAACGATAGCTTCAAGAGTACCTTGAAGTCAAATGACAGACCGGTTTGTGCTTTCGCTTAGATAAATTTTATGAAATATTATATGTGATTTTCTCTGTGTACGCGCATGTCGTCTTTTAAGTGATATAAATGATTTGTTATGAAAGAACAGGATATGTGAGGTGATAAATATGGGAGCTATTTCATTGACGTCATGGTGGCGACCATGTTTTTAGTTTATTAAAAAAGAACTTTCCTCTCGTCTCTTCTTCGGGCATGAAGCCGGTCTTTTGGCATTTAAATCTCAATCAATAGAACGCAAAACCTGCAGTTAGTTTTTAGTTAGTTTTTAAAAATGCGATGCTGTGATAATTGTTATGTGCATGTCATACTTAGATCCAGAATCTTTGAGGCCCGGGGGGGAAGGGGGGGTGGGTGTTCTCGACCCCGTTTTGGATAGGTACGTACCGCCAGCCGTCTAAAACCCTGACCCTGTTTGAGACACTAGAAAGTAAAAATCCATACCCTGTTCAAGACAAATCGGAATAATAAGGAGTCGCTATCTACGGCGCAACCATCAAAACTGCAATTATACTGACATCCATCAAGGACAATAAGAAGTTTTTGATAACACGTTATTCCTGCTACAGTGATTTCTGCTACGGTATTTCTTATGAAAATATTACCCTGTACAAGACACAAAAATGAATTATATCGGTCTATTATCTAAATTGTACAGCCTGTTTAAGACAGTTTCGGGTGAAATGTATACCCTCKTTAAGACAGCAAGTCCAAAAACCATACCCTGGCCAGCGGCACGTCCCCGTATAGCAAATATATGGGATTCGCTTTGAGGGATGTTTCTCTGATAATCTCAGTCCTTACCAACTTTTGGGTTTCCTGTGGTGTTCTTAAAATAGCCCACTTTAGATATTCTGATTGAAGACGATGAAGACGAGGCTCCGTGGAAACAAAAGGATTGATTGTTTCCCCTAAGCCTCGCCTTCAATTCCTTTGTCGCGGTTAGTCGGTTAAGCGAAATATCGCATGTGGACTATCCTTTCAATCAGTTKATCTCGCTTCATGTATTGTTGCTATTCCAAGCGAATTTTTGTAGCGCTTTTTGCTGAAATTCAAATACACCTACTTGTAGAAACGTTGTCATAGAAAATAGAACATTTGAATTTAGTAAAAAGGAAAAAATTAAAACAAGACAAAAGAAAGCGTTCAGCCTCAGTGATCTTCTTTTGTCTTTTTGAATTTATTCCTTTTTTACTGAATACAAATGTCCTATTTTCTATGMCAACGTTTTCGCAAGTAGGTGTATACAGGGAGGAAATGCAATCACAACAATAAAAGTTGATGTTAAACAAAAAAGATTTCAACTATGATATGGCTATGACATGCACTGCACATGCAGGAACACGCATGATATAAGCGTCCTTTTTTGTTGATTTGTTTGTTTTTCGTAACACGGTAAGCTACGGTAACCATGGCGCAACAGGGTGACATTTATCGTAACATTTATTAGATATCTTAGATTTTAAAGCGTGTGYCGATATTTATTCCTTAAAAAGTCACTTGAAGRTCATCTTTTTTGTTCAAAGCAGCCATGCAAGGTARATTCAAAAAAAGAGATTTTTTTCCTGTTATAATAAATTCAATTATTAAATAACAACAACGGATTTCAGGTTGACAGCTATCAAGAGGGGGGCTATACACGCACGACTGAGTTGATCTGTTATAAACATTACTGACTAGTACGCTTCGTGTTCGATTATGGCTAGCGACAGCTCYGAGAAAGCAAAAGAGGCAGCTGCTAATASTGATAGAAAGCTGGTTCTGTYTGTAGGCTTCGTGAATATGCTTTGCCTCGTCGGGTTTGGCTACTGGCTTAACACAACATCCCTTCCGACTCCAGACTTGCCAACAACGGCTGATCGACTTGCTTTTGCCTTGAAATGGCAATCGYTATCTGTTTTGACGGTTRTAGCAGGAATCATATGGGTTGGTAACACAAGATTTCKCACTCCAGCTATAAACCCGTTAGATCCAGCAGGGAAAAAATACGTGGAGATTCCTGTGAGATACCTAAGCAACACAACAGAGCARTTCTTGATGCATTTTGTTGCTTGTTTGACCCTCGCCGTCCATCTGCCGCCCAACAAGATGATGGCATTGCCTTTGYTGACTGCTTGGTTTGTAGTAGCTCGAATTGTCTTTGCAATTGGGTATTCWATCCGTCCCATCTTCAGATCTCCTGGATTCTCATTTACATTCTCGCCAACAGTTGTCTCTCTTGTTTACTGCAATTATTGCTTGTATGTGGAATATCTGAAGTGAATAGACAGGCTATGCAAATACCGTACACTGACAACCACACTTGGCTGAATACAGACGAGAAAGACTACTTCACATTTGACTTATCGTATATCAATAGTCGGCTCAACCGATAGATCGATAAACTGAAAAACTTTTAGAGAAAAACTGACGCTTTTAGAGCGCTTACTCGAGTTGCAACATAGAACATTCATGTCATAAACTAAAGACATTCATTTCAGAAGACTCAGGACTTTATATAGTAACAGATCTAGAGSCTTTGCTATAACAAATATTTCCACTTCTTTCAAAAATCCCGAAAATCCATTTTGAGTTTTCTTTGCAAAATGCAAGTATTTTTTTCTGTAAGGAGTATATTTTTTGAAAGTATAAAGGCATATGCTTTGTATAAGAACATGAAGTTGTCATGTTATGTCGAATAAGATTTTTGGCTTCTCTCTAACAAGTTTTTTTCAGCGAGTTTCCCATGATTCAAGAAACCTTTTGTACAAGTTTATTTCCAATCATAGTTTGTYATCTTTARTTTGTGAGATTTCTACCAAACTTTTTCATACAGCTTGGTTGTATTGCACTATTTAAGACATTAATTCAGATGAATGACTATCCATTGTTTAATAATTTGTGCATAATCTATACATGTCTTATTCAGGTTGATATTGTGAGTTTAATATTCAATAAACTAATCATTAAAAGGATACTAACAATTATTAATAACATTGAGAAGGACATTTTCCTGTGGTAGAGCTTCCCACTAAATATTGACCATCCGGTTAAAAGGAGACTGAAATTACACCAAAATGCTTTGATTTAGTAGACTACACTAAAATCTGTGAACCAAATAATACTAATTTCTAATGTGCGTCACCATAAAGCATAATGCCACTCATTCAATAACMAGAAACGAAAACATCTTTATGAACATAAGATGATGTGAATCGCTCAGGCCATCTAGAAGTCTCGAAAACCTTAGTGTGGAGTAAATTTATTAATTGAAATAAACATAATGTCTGCTTACCTGTCAATCAAACAATCTTATAAACGAAATTTGCGTAGTTCTTTCCGACGCCAGACCAGCATTTATCGGGATCACTCGCCTGGGTAGAAAAATCAACCTTGGGTTCGCCGCCCCAGCACTCTCCGTAGAACTGCACACCGTATAGCTGTCAAGATGACATTATAGTATGTCATTAYAGAAACTAACTATYGAACTGAAAATGCARTACAGGGGTCTGCGTGCTGGGCTGGAKGCTAACGCTAGACGAAGGGGTCATGTATAAGGGGTCATACATCTTTGGGTTAGATGGTTATAATGAGCAAAAAAGGAAATTAGAGAGAAATTATAGAGAGTGAATAAGATTGTTAGCATATGTCGTGGAAGATAAGGGAGTTTTCATGACATGGGCAATGGGACGTGCATTAGATAAGATTGTTAAATGCGTTTTCACTTAATCTCCGAGTCTAAACTACTTTTTTTCCATGGTATATATAGTGGAGATCATTGTTTTGTTCTCATGTTTTTCTAGGAAAGCAAAAATCAAGTAATTGTCCTCCTTGCTCATAGAGACATTCTTCCTCCTTACCTTAAAGTGGTTTTTAGCCGCCAATTTAGCGCACCCTYTGACAGTCTTGCGCATGTCCAGCCAATTAATCTTGCCCCTCAAATTAGCATACAATTTTGGAAGAGCTCGATTACTGCCACTGTCGCGATAACAGCCAACTTCTTCAACTGTTTTTAAAAACATATTTACTTTTAACGGAATTATTAGAGCGGATTTCGTATGAGTGGGACACCGTTACCGCACGGTTACCGCACAGTTACCGGACCTGGTCTGCACAATTTTGGTGAACCAATGGGGCACTAGAATTTGGTTACATTACGATTACGGTCACAGTACAGTACCGTCCGTTTCCCACTCATACGAAATCCGCTCTACCAACGAGAGCAAATGTTCTTACCGCATGGACCATCTTCAAACATGACGTCATCAAGTGCCAAGTCACTTCGAAAATCGATTCCTCTCACTGCCTCAAAGATAACCTTGAATATGGTAAAGTCAGGAATAAATGTGCAAMACATGTCATGTAATTATAAAAGACTGGTAAATAGAGTTATTGTTCTACAAATTAGAAAAACATGAATACTACATTGATAGGTAATTTAATTAACTGAAAACTGATGGCGTCTGGTAGGAAGAATGAATCTATGGATCCCCGGTGTATAGCTATATCCATACTTTCTTCTCTCAACCGGCCACTGACGAATTGAAGTCTGAYTGTTTTGGTATTAGTACCTGGTATTGTGACGTGCTGTCAATTGTCACGTGACCAAGATTCCATTTTTGTCCTTTGTYGCCAGAGACTTTCCATATTTGACGTTCTCCTCTATCGTCCTTGAGAATGACACTCAARGACCCAATACCACCACCAAACATGTGGTACCAAAACGACAAACACCTCCCCTCTGAGGCGGTTAATRTTTTGCTRGTTAGTSTGGCTTTATCACCAGTAACAGCTGGCGATGACCCCTCGGTGTACATGTAATGACCTGGAAAACAGCGGCCGAAGATCATGAGCTTGACAGAAATATTTCAGTAAATCAAACTTTATCTGGATTTGATTGAAGCAGTAACTATTCATCATTTTAATATATACAAGTCATTTTAATTGCTAAGAAAGCCTTCAGAAATACCAACAGTATTATTCCGGGCTTTCTGTGCCGTCAAGGGACAGGAAGCCCGAAAAAGGTATAGACCACTTTCACAAGTGCCTRCTATCGATTTTATATGATTGCCAATATTAAGGAAACATTYGGCACTGTCATATTGAAGAACTATCAGAAATAAGTAAAAATGCAAAATTTTGAAGATATAGACTAAGTTATGGAGGAATGAAAATACAAGGATTTGTATGAAATTCTTTATTGAGGCCTTGGTGGCCTCGTTTTGGTGTTTTTGTGCATCTTCCAACCCTTATAACTTCTAGGGGATTTAACATCTTTATTTGAAACTTTGATATCTATCATCTCAGTGTCGACATTATGAATTTAACAATAATATAATAGTATGGTTGCCTTTTAAGTTTCTTTGTTGTTTTCTATTGAATTACCTGAGCCCGAGCTGTGATCACCAGACGGTCCTGTACCTGACGAGGGTGTAACTCCAGTCCATCTCGTCCACTTGTAGCGGCTCTCATCAGCCTTCCAGTTGCACAACTTATCATGATCGAATTCACAGTCATCAGGGCCTACAGACACAATTGATGTCAATCAAAGAGAATAAAAGAGTCTTTATAGGTATCTTTATGCTTCATTATTATTGAATATATAATTGTGATGTACTAAGATTGCCCAATACTCTGAGTATTTAAGCCAGGACCATTTGTACTAAGGGTGGATACACAGATTTTGAGCTTAAAAGAATTCAGTTCCGTGTAGACAAGCCCTGCTATTATTCACACACTAATTAAGTACGACCTCTCTCTGGTTTCCATTTGATTCTTACCAAGACCACATGTCTTCTCGTGGCACCTCTGATATCCAATTTTGCTACCAACACAGTTTTTACCATTGTACTGTGGTTTTGGATCGCTGCATTCTCTTGTTCGGTTCTGTATTCCGTTTCCACAAGACGCATCACATTCACCCCAAGAAGACCACCGACCCCAGTGACCATTGATTGGTGCTAGTATCAAATACGCACATTATTAAGGATRTTGCTATACCAACACGAGCTATGTTGAAATTGGAGTCAAAATTTCATCAAGTACGCTTTGCAGCTGATGCAAGGGACAATTTATCAACTAATGCAATTTGATCAATTTGGTAATTGAAAATATAAATATTTACAACTTGCAGATTAACTCAATAGTCAAATAAGACTTCATAGTTGTGCTTAGAATTCTTACCATAGCACTCCGCATCACTGCACTTAGAGGTGTTAACTTGTACCCCATAATAGTCCCCCTCAGGACAGTCTATCGAGGGTTTGTCCGACGTACAGAATCTTTGCTTATATCTTGTACAGTCATAAAGACTACAAGGACCAAAKTCTGACCATTTGCTCCATGGAGATCCAGATCCTGCGACAAAATAAGAATGATGAACAAATTCCCATGAGCATATCTTGCCTAACTGTTATGATGTAGTGACTTTATGTCCAAAACGACGATGTACTGCCACAGAGGTAAGTGGCTTGCCCAAGGGTCCAGTGTGATGTTCGAGTTGTACATCAATTAAACCATGAACGTCTTCTTCTCATCATCACTTAGCAATCATATTGTTATCATTACAATCATCTCTATATCACCATCATCGTTGCATTCTGCTACTACACAAACAACATGATRTCCAGAGCAGGGCCCTGTTTTAACGCTTTACCCTAACAGTTGAGGTGACGGTTTTGGCACCCCTACTGACGAGTAGGCAAAGTGTCGCAAAATAACAAGGATAGAGTGAGAAATCGATGTCAAATAATTCCCGCTGAATTCAAATTCGGAAAGAGTTATCAGTTGCCAAACGTTAGATACTGCAAAAAGGAGTTAACTGACCAAATTTGAAGGGCGTACTTGATCTAGAGAGCGAGTAAACTCATTTTTAGTTCTCCATACATTTATTTATAATTTCAGGGGTCATCAGCGCGTGGCGCTCGTGGAAAATACGAAGAAATGTATTGATGGTTTTCAACCATTCCCATGAGAGTGAGCAAAACAAAAAGGTCCACCAGTCACGGTGGTGGTTTTCTTTTGTCAGGTCCACCAGCAATGGCGGGCGTTTTTTGTTCAACTTTCTCTCCTGGGAATGGTTGAAAACCATCAATTGAGAACTAAAATGAATTTACTCGCTCCCTAGAAGTCATCCTTCAAATTTGGTCAGTTAACTCCTTTTTGCAGTATCTAACGTTTGCAATTGATCATTCTTTTCAAATTTGAAATCAGCGAGAATTATTTGACATCGTTTCCCGGTCTATCCTTGTTATTTTGGGACATGCAAGATGGCCGCAAAAACCGTCACCTCATCTATTTGGAGATTGACTGGGACGAAAAGTATCAGGCCCTGTCTGAAATCAGCCTACATATACCTTTGCAGTCATACAACGCATTCAGTTCTTGTAGATCCAATGCAGTGAAGCCGTCTCTCTGGCCCAGTGTTCGTTCAGGTGTTCGGATTGATTTTACAGTTGGTTTACCATTCTTTGAGAAACTATGAGTGCCGTAATGCATGATGGACTCGTAGTCATACGGGATCTTGAGAGTATCCATCACTCCATGCGTGTATTTTTTRAAGTTGTAATCTTCACCTGAAAATAAACTTTTTTAGAATTTTTCTGGAAAATACTTGTAAGCTATGGTCTCTAAAATGGATTGTCTTCCTCAGTGGAACTAGCAAATGAATCTCTGCTTGCGCGCAGGTGATATACATATAACGGTGGACAAAAATGAAACGATTTCTTGAGTTTTCCTTTATTTTCTGCCCAAGCTTCTATAAAGTGGCCTTGCCCAGCCTTTTTAAAACGTTATCATCGAAGGTATCTCTAGCCCAACATATAAAATATGTTAAAACATGTAAAATACGGGTTATTATACCGATACAGGTTAACAGACGAGATACCCCCCCCCTCCCCCCCTCTTCCCCTCCCCTCCTTCCCCCTGTACTCTATTATTATCTTGATACGTTTATTAAAGATTTGTATGCGGTTCACTGCTGAGTGATTAGAATACAAGAAGGTTGAAAGCAACAAAGCCAACCCAACCTGACAATAATTCAAATTCCAGTTAGAAAGGACTTAGTACCTTGTTCAATGTTCTCCCAAAGCACCTCGACATATTGGTCTCTGTCTGGTCTACTTTGTTCATGCCAAAAACCCAATGCATGCATAATTTCATGGAGCGCAGTCCCAATGTTATCACATCCTTGACCAAGTGACAACTCTTGACCAACTCCTTGAAGCCAGTATGATCTTCCAACTCGTGACCAACACCTAAAATCGAAGAGCGGAGTCGTTGTGAATAAATAAATAAATAAATAAATAAATAAACTCTTTTATTTTGAGAAGGTAGCACGTAATAGTCTCTAGACTAATAAACTTGTGGCCCTCTATATATTCACTCACACTCATTACCTCAACATTCATTATTTTACTACACGACACTCCTCAYAGCTAGTTTTTGAYTGAGGGAGGAAAACCAGCGGACCTGGAGAAAAACCCTCGGAGCAAGGGAGAGAACCAGCTTACAAATTCAAATCACATATAGTCCCGGACAGGGAATCGAACCAGGACCACAGCGGTGATAGACCGGCGTTTTAACCGCTCGGCCATCCTTGCTGTGTGCAAAGCCTGGAAGACAACCATGACTCACCCCACTTTATAAACAAATGAAATCCACTGCTTCTCGTCTGTCCTTGGTTTGAATCGAATGCAGGTTTTACTGTGATACACTGCAATGGCCTGCATTACTACTTTCTTGTGACTTTCTGTAGTAAGAATCAGTGTTTCAGTACAAAAATGCAGCATATCATTTACACATATCAGTGCATTGCAGCATGCATTACATTCTCCCGAGTTGGTATAAGACACACATATATTCGCTTTSTGTCAGTGTTACCTGGAAAWCCAGACGWAAATTGGTAAGGAACGACTTTAWTGATCCAAAGACGTTTTCTGTCTCGAACAGCATTTCGTTTGGACAATGGTTGAGATTCCGGTATCTTTTCTTTATCTGTTATWATKACATCGCCCTCAAATAAGTTGAGATCGCTTTCTGTGGAAGAAAATGTTTGGAATAATGCATTTTAAAGATTGCGAAGAAAAAACCATTGATGAAATTAGCAGATCTAAAATTTTGAAGGAATGAAGGGAGTATTCGTAAGACGCTATTTCTTTATTCATATTATTATTAATGTTTTTTTTCATTCATCCTTTTTTTTGTTGACTGAGATAAATACTGAACTCAAGATGAATAAACACTTGCCTTTATTAATCTTATAAATYCTGTCATGGGTGTTTTCCTTTGCGTGTTCATCAGACCCTAAACAAAAAGATAAAATTGTCAACTTTAAACTGATTAAAACTGAAAAAGACCTAAAAATTGCTTTTTTTAMCGGAAAGATATTGCTTTTGCTTTACCTGACGAGCTTATATCGATTACAAGACGTGTATTAGATCTTATAATTTCCCTTTCAATCATGTAAAAAGCATGGATAGGTATTACAAAAGAATTTCAGTGATAACAGAAATATTATAATTTACAACAGTTATTACCTGAAAAATTAAAGTTTTTGTATATGAATTGCCTTAATTTTCTTGGAGTTTTAATATTGTTTTTAATACTAATGCTAGCTATAATGACTTAGTTCTATAAATAATCACTTTTGGCTAGTATCAGGTTTGATTTTTATCTWYTTATTTATTTATTTCTTTTTTAACGGAGTTAACGCTATTTACTTTTTTTGAAATCCCGCTAAAGAAAGATATAATTGGAATCCATAATAAAGCTAATTAAACTGATCTAATTTTTCCATTTAACACAACAATTCTCCTGATATCTAATCAACAATGTGTTAAGGGGATTATTCTTTATTCGRACAGTGAAACTGTTTCGTTACATTTGCTTATGAATTTGMCAATTTTTCAATAATAATGACTATAAAAATRAAAAAATTGAAAAATCCTTGTTCTCTCCTGGGATGCACTYGTTTAATCATTAAAGACATTACAAAGTCTCTGATATATTTTTYTCACTTRTCCTTTTTCWCGGGTTTATTTTTCGTATAAAGRGTTCTCTCGTCGTACAGGAGATCATTGCTAGCAGAATGGTAGTTTAACAAAAATATGTATGTTTATTACCTGCGTTTTTTGTGATTGGGATTGCCTGGGTAGCTGCGATAACTAATGCACACAGCCAAACAAACATAAGACTCATCTTGACTGCAGAAATRACTCAAGGCCACAGTCCAAATGAGCACTACAAGTAACCAAATTGACAAAACAAGTCCTGGTCGAAGWTTAAACCATGGGWAATGAAGATGTTCACGTCACCAGGACCAAGGGATCAGTGTTGGCTGATTGATGCTAGAAAACAGGCTTCTTAATCAATACAATCAATAATAATTCCTTRTGTCTGTAAGTGACACATTAACTTCCCTTGTTGCCATGTACAGTGCAAATTTCCTTTGGGAATGTTACTCTAAACAAGCCTTACTTTGACAGAAAGGCTTCCGTCTAAGATAAGTGTATATTAAGAACTTACACGAARACTTGATGGATTTAAAACTGTAAAATATTATATATTTTTAAACTAATTTGAACCTTCAGTTGATCGGCTTAGTCATGTGACCAAACAATCGGTTGGTGCTAATTACATATGATCCGTATAGTATAATTGACGATTTAATTTTTTTCTTTTCTTTCTTTTTTTCCTAAACAAAAGAAAAAAATAGCTGCTTGATATATGTTTCCGCAAATTCCTTTACTGTTTCACTTTTTAAAATAACGATTCTGCATAACTAACTTTAAACCTTTTTCAGATAAGCTTGTTATCTCACCACGGGCCAGCCGTATAAATAATATTGTCTAGTATTTACCTTAATCATATAAAAAACTCTGATAAAGTCAAAAAATATCATTAAATACCACTTTAATTACTAGTTTTGAGAGAAAAGTAGATATTTTCTTTTATAGCAGTGTAATTAGACCCAAATATAACAAACCCTTTGACAAAATTATGCTACTTAAAAAAATATCTCACCAATATCAATTTTTTACTAGTATTTTCTTGRATTTTTGCAACGYAAAATGAGAGACTTAAAGSTAAAAAGTTCTCATGGATCCTAGCTGGCACCTGCGTTAAGATCGTTGACTGAAARTCCATTCTGTACGAGTAGACRAAACTCAGAAACACAAATATAAATATTAGCAAAAGCGGCTAAGAATACAAATAAATCTAGTCGCTTGATATTCAAAATATTAGTMTTTTTTCTTCAAATCAGTTACTTTTCTGTATAAATTCATCATAGAGTATTCATGTAAACGTTTCCCTCGTTGTAAAAAAAAACACTCACACACTTTTTTACTCACACACACTTTTTTACTATTCTAATTTGCCATTAGTAATCTTCGATAATTAAAGATCAATTATCCGAAAGTTATTGAAAACGAAAAAGTAATAAGAACTCGTCTTCTCAGTTTYTCATTTGGTATCTCTTTATTTTTCACTCTTTGACTGAAATATAAACTGGACGAGAGAATGGAAACGTAAGAACTTATATATATCTGTTTGTGGTTTACAAGGTGACATAAGCAGTCTTTCGCTAACGAKTATCGTTGCGCTATACTAATGAATTTGATACAAGGAACTTCARTGCACTCAAAAACGTTGAAATGTCCTCATGTCTAACATGATAGGTAGGATCATTATCGATTTAGCATTAACCACTCATGAATGAGAAAAATWTACTGTTTGGATTAACTGAATCTTGACAAAATCAACTTGTAGTGAGTTATGTTTTATCCATGATACACCGCGCGCACTGTCACGTGATCTGACCATTTAYAAATGTTTACTTCATTCTTCTTTAACATCGAGTATGTTGGGCTTTCTGCGTGGTGAGATCCGTAAACCAGTACAAGTCTTATAAATTTGTAATTCCTGCTCATTTTTTCGAAATCTTTCATTAACGAGATGKCMATGTGTCATGCGCACTAGTCAGGTCTCATTAAGCTGTGAAATAGTATTTTACGGCTCTAAACATATCAATATCAAWGATGGTTAAGATAAGGGCAACGAAATTAAACTTAAATATGACTTCTMTTTTCCGTTAGCTAGTAAAAGTAATCAGTTTTTCTTGTATCAATTCACTCATGATTAAGCTCACTTTACCAGCTTTGAAACCTTGAGTGAAATCCAAGAAGAATTTTTTGGCGTCATTACACAATCGATGTTAAATTTATACTGCACATGATTTGAATAGCTTAGCAAATTTCTTTGAATCTTTCTCCCCAGAAAGCAAAGGCAATTAAAACGCGTTAATCATTGGGCGAGCGTTCAAGAGTTAAAAAGTTTAAGGGTTAAAAGTTTTACATAATTAGCATTTATTCTTATAAAAGTATTGATAATCATTCTGACATTCTTAGTGCAATCAAGATATATCTCCTCTATTGGTTGGCAGTGTATCTGAGATTGAACAGGTTCTGTGCACAAAGTGATCAAAGAATTCGCTTACCTTAGAAGTCAATCGAAGACAAGTAAACTGAAGTGCAAAGAAAAAATACTCAACTTGTATTTATCTTAAGGACGAAAGACAGATCAAACAGGAAACAACATTGATTATCAATACAAAGCTGTCCTCTAAATGCTTTCTTCGTCTTGTTACAACACCTCGTCTAATCGACCRCGTCTTAGCAACCGACCACCCAAAAAYGATTATCCRTGKTCATACTGTCAAGAGACTTTCTCAACACACCTCGTAGCGCAGACCTCCAATTATCCTACTGGAAAAGTGAGTTGTTTGGTACTTGTAGTTCAAAATAATAACTGTTTGATATAGAGAGGTTTGACCTATCTGACGTTCAATATGTCTGGTCAATATTCGGAGGGTTTAAGATTCAGGACAAACAMGTTAACAAATCACAATTGTTTTCGTATTTAGACAGCAGAGTTTACTTTCCTTTCTTACCAAACATTCTTGCTTTCCAGCAAGAGACAATGATTGAATTGAAAATAAATTGACCGAACAATTGAAACCTTGAAACTGTCTTAACACATGAAATTTTAATTGGCAACTTCACTTRTAAAGTAAACTAAGAAACGCGTACCTGAATCAACACAAACCGAGCAAAGCCATTAGCAGAAGTTTCCTCAAAGCGTCATCAAAGCGTCAGGTTTGGTGTGTGGGCGTAAATGATTTCAGCAAAGCAGAGATTATTATATTATATTTCGCAATCCAAGTTTCTAAAAAATAATAAGCTATTTAGAGCGCTTTTTATTGATTTATATCATGGATATTGCTGGATAACCACATCCWCGTTTGGTACAACCGGYCCCASTCTTGATAACTAGAACCATTTCAAATCTCTAGATCTGCTGTAGCCGTGTGGTAATGGGGATTGATGCATATGCCATGATATTTGTACAAAACGAAGTAATTTCATATTACTCCTCTACTATAATGGGAAAGTTTCACAAGCAAATTATTTCAATTTTTCATAAAATACAGAGAGCGCCCATTAACGGATCAGATTACWGAGAGTTTCATAATTTTTATTTATTTCATATGATGTAACAATAAATGAGAAACACATTTTTAAAACATTCGATACACATAGTTCACATGTTGTCCTCCTACTCCTGCCCAGCACTTGGAATCGGGTGCAGCGCCGTACTTGTCATATCCAACAATGGTAGCATTACTACTCCAACATTCACCATAATATTGTATACCAAATATCTATAATGAGATGAACAGATAACTAGGGATCTCAATCATTTTTTATACGAGTGGTATGAAGTGCAATTACTCATTGAATGGTAGGTGGTTCAGGTAGACGGTTGGTTGGTTGGTTGGTTGGTTGGTTGGTTGGTTGGTTGGTTGGTTGGTTGGTTAGTTGTTTTATCAAGTCGATTTCTTGGCGGTTTGTTTTCACAAGCCAAACTCTACCTTATATCCTTTGAGATGTACAAGCCTAGCACATTGGTTGACCGTTTTCTGCATGTTGTACCAATCAATATTCGGACGGAGATTTTTTATTAGTATAGGCAGAGGTTTCAGGKATTTTGGCATTCCATCATTGAAGCATCCGATGGCTTCGACTGTTGAATGATAAATTAATGTTTAAAGATGTACTTCAATGAACGTCTCTAGTTATGAACAACATTTCAGCATAGCTATTATCATAAACAGTCCTTATATTATCACCTCCATAGCATAAAACTGCACATTGCGCCAAATTATTTGAAGAGTGGCCAAATTTGTTAGATTTCYTATRGATTTTGTSATCTGGATAACTAGGATTTACGATGGGACAAAGACATTCACCCTTTGTACAAACTGCTTATGATTATYATTCATACAAACATGAAGGTTAATTTATGCGTATAGAAAGAAAACAAAATTATAGCAAAAAATAGAATAGACTTCTGAAGCTTTTACGACCATGAATTATGGGGTCGGTTTCTGTAGGAAGAAAAGAAATCCGCCATGTTTTGTCTCAGACATTACCTACAATACATTGCGATATGAGGTCTACTTTCAATAACTTACTACATGGCCTCTCCCTGAATTGAACATCGTCGATAGCAATATCTCCAGTGAAACTGGCTCCTCTGACTCCTTCAAATACAATCTAGGTCGGACAATGTAAAAGATATAAGAAATTAACTACGCATTGACGTGATATTTTTACAACGCGCGGTCTGGGTCTGGGTACGAAGATTTGATTCATTTCTCCAAGCATTACTGCTAAAATTGGTCATTGATTTTAGTCTGCATTTATCCAGCCAATTAGAGTTTCTATTGTTTCTACTTACCTCATAATCACTGTCCATAAAGAGCGACACGTTAGCTTGAAGCCAGGTATTACCTTGAGCACCAACCTTACTCCATAGTTTACTCAATCCACTCCCCTTAGTTTTAAYATAGACATTTAATTCACCAATGGACGATCCCCACATGTGATACCAAAACGACAAACACCGACCAGTGGTTGCTGGGAACGTTTTGCTTATAAKCCTGGCCTTGTATCCTTGTTGAGCAGGGCTGGACGACTCGATGAACAAATAATGATCTATCAGTTGCGATTATAGTGATATTCATTAACCTGGAGTTTTAGCTGTTGTAAAAGCAGCCGAATCTCGTATTGTACTATTAATTACACCCTAAAATGAAACAATTCCATGTTGTTTGCAATTACCTTGTCCGTTACTATGGTCACCGGATGGACCAGTGTTTTTACTGGGCGTACTCCCGTTTCTTCTCATCCAATCAAAACCGTGCTTATTATTGACGTCATTCTTCCAGAAGCAAAGTCCGCCATAATCAAACTGACAGTCATCRGCACCTARAAAGAAACRTTACGTTGAAATGCTAGTAGAATAAGAAATCCATATAAAAATGTGTAATGGCTGTATATTTGTTGTGCTTTATGACCCTGGATATTCGATACGTCCATTGGAGCTTTTTTCTCGATTAAATTAATCATATCTTTATGTTTTCCGAATTCTACAAGCTAAATACCATCATTACGTCAACCATACTTACCCAGTCCGCAACGTCTGAGATAGCAATCCWGAGATTCCCATGAGCTTCCAGTACAGTTTTTCCCACCATTCTTTGGGGGCGGATCATCACATAACCTTGTTCTTCTCCTAGACCCAGGGCCACACGGTTTGGAGCAGTTTGTCCATGACGACCATCGACCCCAGTGASCGTCCACAGCAGCTGATCATGAATTATAACCATTTTACCAAAATATCAGGTTAAGTKAGTTTTAGACTAAACCTACCATTACATTCTTGGCTGCTGCAAACAGCAACCTCAGTCTCCACGTTATGATTATGGACACCAGGGCAWTCAACCGCTGGATTATCAGAAAAGCAATATCGCTGGCGTTGTTTTTTACAATCGATATTGCATGGACCATAGCTGGACCAAGGAGACCATCCATCGGCAGAATTCACAACACCATCTAAAGAGAAAATAAGTTATATAGCTAGACTGKATGGTAATTACTAGCCAGCATTRATATTTGATACTTAACAATAGCTATATAGTTTTTTGAAAYATTATTCAAAAATACGGCTGCTAATACTTTTAAGTGTTGCCCATACTCCCCTTCAACGCCTACTTACTTTTGCAGTCATATAAAGTATTGATTTCATGGATATCGTTGGCGGAAAATCCTGTGTTCTGTCCTAGTGGTGTGTTAGGGTCATGCAAGGCTCTCATTGTGTCTTTACCATTCTTAGAGAACTGTTTTCTACCGTAATGCATGATACTGGCGTAGTCGTAAGGTACTTGAAGATCGTCAATCATGTCATGACTGTACTTGTTGAAGTTATATTCCTGACCTGCAATGTACAGAGCGTTAGCGAGTGCAGGCGATGCCATAAGTTTTCTAAGGGCGGTCAACTAACCCTCCAAGATGTTTTCCCAGAGAACCTCGATAAATTGGTTTCTATCGATTCGGCTGTGCTCGTGCCAAAACCCAGCAGCRTGCATAAGCTCGTGCATAACTGTCACTTTGTCGTTACACGTGGGTCCAAGGGAAACATCTTGTCCATAGTTTACCTTCCAGAAGCTCCTTCCTACTGAAGACCAACACCTACACAAAACCACGAAATGCATTCAGATCACAAGACCAGCTTCTACACTTATCGCACATTCACTTTATTAATTGAACTGACAGACATATATATGCTTTTATTAGAACATGGGCGTGGTGAATGTTACATCCTCCCCCC